CGGCTGTCGACCAGCACCCCCAGGTCTTTTTCTGCTGGGCAGCTTTCCAGCCACTCTTCCCCAAGCTTGTAGCGTTGCATGGGGTTGTTGTGACCCAAGTGCAGGACCCAGCACTTGGCCTTGTTGAACCTCATACAACTGGCCTCGGCCCATTGATCCAGCCTGTCCCGATCCCTCTGTAGAGCCTCCCTACCCTTGAGCAGATCAACCCTCCCTCCCAACTTGGTGTCATCCACAAACTTACTGAGGGTGCACTCTATCCCCTCGTCCAGATCATTGATAAAGATATTAAAGAGAACTGGCCCCAAAACTGAGCCCTGGGGAACACCACTTGTGACTGGCCACCAACTGGATTTATCTCCATTCACCACAACCCTCTGGGCTCGTCCATCCAGCCAGTTTTTTACCCAGCAAAGAGTACACCTGTCTAAGCCATGAGCTGCCAGCTTCTCATCTTCTGATTTTGCAGCAGTTCTGTTCAAGCAGGCAATGCATGAGCGCGAGGGTCAGTGTTACACCTAAACATCAAGCCACTACATGGCATGAACTTGGCTCAGGGGCAAAATTTGACCCACATTCCTTGATACAAAATGCTCAGAGAAACCACCTGATGTACTTTGAAACTAAAACTATAATGGCTGTCACCGTAAGTCCACATGTGTAAGTACATAAGCAAGCTAATTAGTCAGGCAAGCTTGAGCACCTAAAGGGTGCTGCCACTTTCTAATAAGCAGAATCCCATAGACTTTTAAATCCCCTTTAAGTGAAGCTGCACACTGTTGTTCTTAGGTGAAAGCATTCCAGTTACTAAAACCCCCTTGCCCCTCGTGGAGAGTCCGATGCCCTGGAAAACCCACAGCATGGAAGACTATAGGAGACACGTCCTCTTTTGTGGGACAGAAGTCATACAGGTGAAGCCGACGGGTAGAGGGCCAGCGAGAGCCGTCGTGCTGCAAACTGGTATTTCTTTTATTGTTTGTTAACCAGCAGAGGGGAAGTGGCAGCCCCAGAGGCTGGTAGGAGAGCTGGTTTCCCTTTGCAGTTCAAGTCCAGCACAGGTCTGCTGTCCCCAAGAATTGCCTGTTGCCACCTGATGGCTAATGCTTGTGCGATGTTACGGGTTTTCGGGCAGCACTGACGCGGTACAACACTGCTATGTCATGTACGCAGTGTATGGCACATGTCTTCACGCAGGGTTCAATACAGCTAAAGGTGACCTGGTGAGATCCATCCTCTACCCCAAGCCGGTGAACTTCAAACTCTACAGAGATGCCTTCAAGTTCATTGTAGGCCTCTCCGTCATTGGCATGTTTGGGCTCATCTACACCGTGTGTGTGTTCGTGTCCCACAAGGTAAGTACGAGGGATGCCTCTGTGCTGCAGGTGCCAGCTCTACACCCTCGGTCACTCAAGATCCTTGGAATATTGTTCACTTCTGTAATACAGTTTTCAGATGCCAGAAATGGGGGTGGTGGAGGCTGAGGAGGAGATGGACAGAACAAAGCAGAATAAATCTGTCATCCCCAGGGGCAGAGCTTGGGGTGCGTTGCTCCTGGGCAGGAGGGTCGGACCCCCCGAGAGTGACGGTAGCAGGGCAGGGAGGCTGTTCCCATCCCATCGCCCCTGTTGCTCTCGCTGTTCGCAGAAGCCGGTGGCAGATGTGGTGGCTATGGCCCTCCTCCTCCTCACCGTGGCTGTGCCTCCCGCTATCCCTGCTGCCTTGACAACAGGCACTGTTTATGCCCAAAGGAGGCTGAAGAAAAAGAAGATTTTCTGCATCAGCCCACAGAGGATTAATATCTGCGGGCAGATCAACCTTGTTTGCTTTGACAAAGTAAGGCGCTTCCTGGGGCACTGAAAGATGGTGGGGGCTGCTAGGAACATGGGATATTTTTTTTTCCACCCCATCTACCCTGGTCTAACCCCAGGGAAAGATCCTTTACAGGTGCCCATGCAGCAGGGTCACGCTGTGGGCAGGAGGCTTTCCTTACCCTGCCTGGGAGCTGGGGAAGGACCTCTGGGGGTGTGCAGGAGGAAGGGGTGGGCAGTAGCAGGGTAACTAGATATTTATTTAAATCTAGACGGGCACGCTGACAGAAGACGGACTGGACCTGTGGGGTGTCATCCCTTCTGAGGGAAGCCGGTAAGGAAGGATTTCTTTTAGCAAGAACTAATCTCCAGTGTCAATGTACTGCCCAAATGTTCTAGTTAAGAGGGAGGCAGTTGCACGGGATACAGAGACAGTAAATAGCATGCAGCAAGAGATGTTTGGGTGCATTTGGGGAGGCAGAGTGCAAAGGGTGTCCCTGCTTAGCTCCTTCCCTCCAAGGAGGGCATCTGGGTGCTGCTGTGGCAGGCATAGCTGTAAAGGTTGCTGCTAATTCAAGGCAAACAGAAGTCAGCAGCAGCACGAGTGCTTTTAATTACCCTGGGGGGATTTGGAGAATATGCACAGAGCTTTTCAATTATGTCATTCTTAGCACAGTTCAATAAATATTCTTAATCCAGTCAATAAACCTTTCATCATTTAAATGTTAGGATAATGCTCCTTCTGTTGAAATTGAGTGTTGCTGAGTTTGGTGCCTGTCGAATCTTACCTACTTTCTGTAAATGCCATGAAAAAATATCTGTGAGACCAGAGATCAGACCTGCAAAGCTCAGGTGTCCTTAGGGATTGCCTCAAACCCATGGCAGGCTCCATCTCAATTCCAAGCCCAGAGACCATTGAAATACTCAAGAAAAAAAAACATTATGTAAACATTAAACTTGACTATATCCAGAATTATACTATTTAATTCACATTACTGTAATACAATAACAGACTTCAGCTCTGCAGTGCATGTTATACCAAACTCAAAATATTAATGTTTTGCAGTGGCCAGGACAAATCACACACCTCATATCAACTCCCAGGTTTCATTAGTAGTTGTTAATATATCAGATACTTCAACACCACAGAGATAATCATGCCATAATGAATGAAAGGATGAATTCATTGTGAGAGGAGAAAAATCACATTCCCAATACTTCCTCAAAGGACAGAAAGAAAATTACTATCTGATCCAAATTAATGAGAAAAGATTAATAAGTGTCAACCAATAAAATACTCTTCCAGTGGGAGCAAACTGCAGGCACGTAGGATGGTCTCTTCTTGGCCCCCCTTCAGTGCACCAGGCAGGCCACACAGAATAGGTGCGCGTTGAACAGGCTTGGAGCCTGTTGAAAGCAGACAGTTCATGGTAATAACAGAATGATTTCCTTTGAGGTAGCCTTGCAAGTAGTGTCTGCTCACATGAGCAGCAGAACAAAACCGGATCCGTATATCAGAATAAATTCACTTAATAAAAAAACCCTCTGCAAGGTATTAAAACATAATGCTGTCTTTGCAGACATGTCCAGTCTGCACCCAGCTGGGAACCAGTGCTGGTGGCTTGCCAAAACGCAAGGAGGAGCTATTGCTGTCTGCATTGATCTCATTAGCCTATTTGCATAATTAGTCTTTCTTAAATGTTCATATTTTTGAACATGTTATAAGACTAGCTGTCAGCTAAGCTGAATACTGTGAGGCAATGACAGTAAAGGAATTTCATTCAACTTGCAAAATACCCTATTGTTCGTTTAATAAGATATAAATGTTTGTTGGTTCTGTGTGGTGTTTAGCAGTTTCTTGGTGTCTCTCAAGTATTAATTAATTAATAAGCCAATTATGACCAGGCTGAGGACAAGGTATAATTTGCTGGAAACAGAGCAGACTTGGATGGCCCAGAGGGACAACAGGTCCCAGATTCATTGTTCCTTTTAATAGAGCTGCGAGCTCTCATGCTGCTCACTTCCAGATGCATTTCACTATGTGTGTGTTAGTAACAGGGGATGGTAGTTGTGATCAAAGGTAAATAAAATCCATTTAAATTTCTCCTTAATATGCCAGCCTAAATGGCTGGTAATGGGCTGTGTTCTGGTCTGGCAAACACAGCTTGCTGGCCAGCCGGTTTCTTAGAGGGAAAAAATGTGTGTGTAAGAAGAGAGGACTCTGAGAAATAACTTCCATGATGAAATTATAGAGCTTTCACCCAGCTCAGCTTCGCACATGTTTGGTCTGTACTGCAGGGCCAAAGAATGGAATAAACCTCAAGGCTTTCCACAGAAAAAAATCAGGGCATGAATCTTTGACAGCGTGCCTCAGTGTAACTAAATAGGAGTCAACCAAGGTACCCATTTTCAAAATGAAGGTGTGAGGGACAAGCATCTGGTGTCTGTGGGTATGCAGATGTAAAATTTACAGCTGGAAGTGAAGGTCGGGTTCCTTGTGGCTCTCCCACGTCGCTCCTGGGGTTGTAGAATTTGGGCTGCTGGTGCTCGTCCACCCCGGTGAGTGCACAGCACCAGCCTGAGCAGAGGCACCCCCTTCCCATACTGCAGTTTCACAAATCTCCCAGGGCACTTTGCCAAACTTCTTTGAGATCCCTGATGCAAGCTGTTTCCTCTCCAATAGTGTCCTCTTTGTCTAATACCAAACAGCAATTTTCAAGCAGGACTCCTGTGCCAGCCCCTCTGAGCGTTTTACCGTCTCAGTTACTTTGTGTCAAGTTGAACTTGTGCCAATGAATTACTGGGTACTTTTTGGCCTCCTGAACGCATCTGACCTGTGATCAGAAGCATGGGTAGGACAGCGTGTTGCTTGCTGTTATTGGGCTCAGCTCTACTCCGTGGAGCAGAGCAGCACCTGGATGTACCAGCTGAAGACTTGTGCCTCTGCATCCCTCTTGTAAGCGGTCCCACTAACCTGCTGCTTTTAATCAGGTTTCAGAAAATCCATAAGTTCCCATCCAGCACTCCTCTGCCCTGGGGACCTGTGTGCGGAGCCATGGCGAGCTGTCATTCACTGGTTGTGTTGGATAAGAAGATTCAAGGAGATCCACTGGACTTGAAAATGTTCGACGGCACACACTGGGTAACGTGACTCGCACCCTCTGCACACATCCAAAGCATGGACACCCCCAACCCAGCCCATGGGGATTTACTCACAAGTCAAGCTCAAATACATGCCTGTAGGGGGAACTACTTTGCAGTCCTGGTCATAACAGCTGGAATTTGCTCTGTTATTTCTACTACCATCGTGATAGATTTGCAGCACTGTGGCTGCTTTTTGATAGTCCAGCGATCATTTTCCTCGGGGCTGCCTGCATTTGCTCTCTTAATTTGATTTGGAAACACTGGAGCGTAAGGAAGCAGAGGGGGAGCCTGGTTGCTGCTTGCTGGAAGCAGGGGGTCAGACCATGCCGTTGGCCATGTGGTGCACAGACCACAGGTCAGCTAAGGAAACGCACAGGCAGGTTTTTATGCCCTTACGCTAAAGGCTGTTATCTCTGATTAGCAAAGGGACATCCCTATGGAGAAACCAAGGCTGGAACCTCCAGCTGAGTGAACAGCAAGTCTCAGAGACCTGGGGAGGACATGAGACATTGAGCCTCGGGGCTCATCTGCAGGGATGGAGAGATGCTTGGGTGGGAGCAGGATGGGAGGAGGCACGAGAAGGAAAGGGGCTGCTCTTCTCCCTGCCACGTCCTAGCCTGGAGGGGTTCTGGGTCTCTGCAGTTAACTGCCTTGTCGTCTTTTCTCCTTCATCCTTTTGCTCAAGAGAGATTAATCAGTAAGTAAAACAGATGGCAGCTCTTTCAGCAGCGCTGCAGGAAGGCATCAGGATGGTGCTCGCTCCTGTGGAAGAGCAGGCAGCAGCAGAGCCACATGACAGCAGAAGGGGACTATGAGGGTGAACGAGCCTTGGCAGCACATAAAGTTACAGAGCTGGAGGGCTAAAAGCACCCTACACTGAAAATTGCCACCCTGATTCTGCACAGAACATTGGTGAGAGTCTTTTAAAAGCAGGAGACTGGAAGATAAAACTAGCTAGGTAAGGATAATTATTTCTCTTTCGCTTCATCGTTGATATGGAATTAAATTTATGTGGAACGTGAGTTTAGAGAAACCACAAAATTTGACACAGGTTTTTACTTTCATCAAGTCAAAAGACACAGGGCCATGTAGGCTTCTGCTAAGGACAAGGCTGCAGGGAGGCTGTCACTGATGATAGATAGGAAGACCTATTAGATCATAACAAAATACTTCTGCAACTGGATGCCAACAGCAAGGGGGAAACATGCTCCCGTGTGCTGCTGCCCCTGCTTTAACAGACAGGTATGAAGTCCCCTGCCCCCAAAAGTATCAGAAATAACATTTTTCCTTGTGCAGGAGGTAGAAGACTCCAGCACAGCTCAGGATGGGGCTGGTGCCCTTGACACCTGCATCGTTAGACCGGGGCCGAAGGCCAGCGATGTAAGTTCGGTTCTTTCTGAGAATGAATATTCTGTATTTTCAACCTGCAGCAAGTGCAAACTCCTATCACACACACTATTCATTTATCTGGGCTAGCACTGGTAAAATGCCTTCCAACCACTCTTGGTACTGTGTTGCATCTTCCCCCAAAACAGACCCCCTGGAAGCGTAGGACCAGAAAAGCAAATTCTGATTAAAGTGGAGATGCTGCTCCTGAAGTGGCATCTAAAGCACTTCATAGGCCTAAAAGCCCCTCATTTCCAACTCTCCTACTTGCACTAATAAAAGGTACAGACTTCTCTGAGTCCTCACCCTGTAAAGCTGCTGGCAAAATGAAACTGCACGATCAGTGTAAGTGAAGACTAATGCAGAGAAACCATGTAAATGGAATAAAAGTGTAAAGCATGAATTCATCTGCAGGAGGAGGCAATGTGAGTAAGGACAAGGCATTACATCGAGAAGCACAGATGTGGGTCCATGAGGCCTGCTGGTAATGGTCGTGCAACCCCACTAGCAGATTTATCAGCCTCACCCTAAAGCACAATGTTGTTTGTTTCACTCTTCCTCTTAAAAGGCCCCTTGGGAAGCTATGTATTTTGACAGTTGAAAATTGTTATGTTTCCAGTCCAAATGTCGACCCAGCTAGCTTCTTCCCAGTGGAAGGAGTGTGATTTCTGTTAGCCATACCAGGAAGACAGTGCTGTGGCAACAAGGAAATCAGTCTTGTTTCTAGGATTGCTCTGTTCCCATGGTAATGTCACTGTAACTCATCAAATTTCAGTTCCCAGGACTGTAGATCCAGGAATATTACATTAATATGTGTTTATTAAGAGAAAGGCTGGGGCAAAGCCTGCAAAACAAGTTAAATATAGAGAAAAACACTGAGGTTCCTGGGAAGTATGCTGAGAAGACAGAGTTGTTGAGACCGTGGCTCCTAAACTTGTAATCAGTGATCTGGTCCCACAGCCAGAAGGCAGCAAAAGTGAAACAGTCTCCTATTAATAATAAATCACCTTAGCAAGAAAGACTCAAATGAGCTAAAGTTCAGAATGGATTTGCTTTGCGTAATCAATGGCTCTGATAATATCTGACTTTCCTGACCTCTTCCAGGCTCCTGTGGAAGGAATAGCAATCTTACATCAATTCCCATTTTCTTCTGGGCTGCAGAGGATGTCTGTTGTTTCACAGAAGATCGGCGAGGAACAGTACGACCTGTACATGAAAGGAGCACCAGAAATAGTGTCCAGCTTTTGTAGACAAGATACTGGTATAGAATTGGGAAAGGGCAACTGTACAGTGTTTATTTGGACTTAATCCAAACCAGAGCTTATGCTGGAGCTGAAATCCTACAAGGATTTCTACTGGCCACACTGCAACTGCATGTGTATGATTCTTCCCACAAACAAGGCTTGGGCTTGTTAAATGTCTTTAGTTAATACTACAAACAAGTTTTCATTGTTTGTTTGTAAGTTAAAGATGCACACAGCATAACAGCTAGTGAGATGCACAGCCTGAGGTTCAGCTGCTGTACATCCCGTAGCTGACTTGCATCAGCTGAAGATACAGTGTATAAATAATGTTGATAAGTCAAAATACTCAGAGCCAGACGTAGGATCACGGTAATTGCATGTCTCACAGCAAGTGTTGTGCTGTACAAGTTCTTAAATTTCCTCCTAATTTATTGCCCTGTAAATTCAGCATTGAGTTACTGACCCAGCTTGCAAAGGCTTTAAATCTCAGCAATGGAAAACTTGCTGTGGACATGCAAATTACTGTTATCAAGGATAATTGACATTAATGCTTGAGCCAAGACTTCTGTCCTCTCTCTGCAAGTAAACAGGCTTCTTTTTTGTATGTGAACAGTATTATAGGCTTATACTCAAATTTGTCTGCAAACTTGAAACTCAGGTCACATTCACTGAATACTTCAAAAGGATGCCAAACAAACACAGTACCAATAGTCTGTGGCTCTGTGGTTTGTTATTTCAGACGGCACTGACCTGAAAACAGGTGAAAACAGTTTTGAGGGACAATAGAAAGGTTTAGTTTAGAACCACCTAAGATCTAACGACACAGACCTCCAAACAAGTCAATATCAGCAAGAAAAATATCTTCAAAATTATGTTCCACTTTCTCAGGTTTCTAAATAGCTCCTCTTATCCTATCTTGATTGTTTCTATATTGATTACAGCTTAATGAATAATTAGGTACTGCACTGTAAAGCTGTGATTGCAGTACATAGTGAGTACAAAGTAGTGCAAAGTTAAAAGGAACTTTTTGCTTTGTCACGGGAATGATTAGAGAATTGAAAATTTAGAATTTCAGAGAATTCTCTCATAAGGCATAAACATAAAAACAATTTCTGCAGGCACTCAGCATGTATGCAGTAAAGCCTACCTGCACCTTAATATGCATTTAAAAAGTATAAAACAGATGCATAGATCACTTATTTGAACAGCCAGTTACACAGCCTTGGTACAAAACAGCTGACTTTTATGAGAGGCCACAGTGCTGTAACTAAGGCTATAAAGTGGTTTAAAGGACAGGCATTTAAACCCTAGAAAAGCAATCAGCAATATTCTAACTATGAAACATTTTTTCCTGTGAACAGTCCCAGCTGATTTCTTAAAGGAGCTTAAGACGTACACAAGCCAAGGCTTCAGAGTCATTGCCCTGGCCCATAAAGTGCTAAACCTAGGAAAGGATGTAGATGTGAGCAACCTAAACAGGTAAGGTGTGCTGACGAGCCGCTGGTATCGCTGTGGGGTTGCTTTCCTATCTGCTTGTTACGACCTGCCCCAAACCTTCCCCTCCTCTCCTGCCGAAGGAAGCCTATTGGGAAGCTGTACTGCGTAACACCTTCCTCTCAGCAGATGCTGATTACACTGTTAATTGCCTGCTTTACTACTGCTCTTGCAAGGCTCACTGAGCTGAATTTCAGGATGTGTTATCAAAGGGTAATGAAAGCTGGTTATTGTGCTTCTACATGGCAATGGATTGGGCCTGCAACAGAAATTCTGTATGCCATAATCTGTGGGTTTCAGACAGCCAGTTCCTGCAAATCTCTGTCCCTCTTCCTGCGCACGCATCTCTGCTGCATTCCTTCCTAGAGACAGCAATATAGCAGATCAGCAGCTTGGCTGAAGCTGCAGAAATGTTGATGCTTGTTGAGCACTGCTTGTGTTGAACTTGTAGCAGTTGTGTTTCCCAGCGAGTATGGCTTTCCTGTTGAACAAAAATCGCAGGGAGAGTCTTGCTCTCTGTGCTGTCCATGGGAAACAGCACGTATGTTTCTGTCCTTGCTCCAAGAGAGGAAGCAGAGTCTGGGCTGGAGTTCCTGGGCCTCCTGGTGATGGAGAACCGCCTGAAGCAGGAGACGAAGCCTGTGTTGCGGGAGCTGGCTGCCGCCCACATCAGGAATGTCATGGTCACAGGTAAATCCCCCAGGCTCCTTCTGTGGCTGTGTAGCTGCCACAGGGCACACAGGAGAGAGATTCACTCCTCCGGCATCCTCCATTGCATGTCCGTGGTCTCCACCTGGGCTGCCACTGTGCTATGGCAGATGTGAGGAGCCTGCCTCTCCTCTATCCTTTCAGGGGACAACTTGCAGACAGCTGTCACGGTGGCCAGGAATGCGGGTATGATTCACACGGGCAGCAAAGTCATCCTCATCGAAGCAAACGAACCGGAGGGCTCCGCTCCAGCTTCCATTGCCTGGCAATTGGCAGAAGACCGCAAAGAAAACACAGCTGTTCTCTCTGTAAGCACAGCCAGGGATGGTTGCTTTTGAGTGCCAAGGGCAATTAACAAAGCTTTTAATGTCTAATAACTGGCTCCTTGCTGGGAATTTGGAAGTAGGTCTGAGGAACAGAGGAAACCTGGGGGCTAGTTTGTATCTACCTCAGGGCATATGGAGGTGTGGTATGGACCATGCACCTGTTAGGGAGAAATAATTAATCCAGTGCTACTGAATTCTTTGCTCAGGACAACATACGAAATAACTATGTGAATAACTGGTCGGGCTTTGCAGATGCAGTGACCACTTCAGTCATGCTTAAAGTGTGCAGAATTAATGCAATTATACATACTTGTCTGTGTGACTATTTGCTGGGCCAAACTTCACTGTCTAAACTAGCAGCCTGTGGCTAACAGGGATTAGTTACGCATGGAAACTCAGTTAGAAAATCAAGTACTGCCAGGAGTGAAGTTTTACAAAAGGATGCTGCATAAGGCTGTGTACCTGGTTGCCTGGTGGGAGGCTGATGAGGTGGAAGTGAAATGGCATGTTATGACCTCAGTCTGAGAATAAATGCTGCCTTATTTCTAGGAGGTATGTGCTAACACTGAGGAAAAGATCACCTTGGAAGGAGAAACCTGCAACTACCATTTTGCAATGAATGGAAAGTCCTATCAGGTTATTATAAAGCACTTCTACAGCTTGCTGCCAAAAGTAAGTTCAGAGGAAGCAAAGCACTTATTTGCCCTCCCTTTTTTATTAAGTGGCAGCCATGTTCCGACTGGAGAAAGGTGTTTTTCTGTTGGTAGCTGTAACATTGTCACTTCACATTTTGACAGCTCTGGGCAGCCTCCCACGGTGCCTCAGGTTTAACCTGAACAGCTTGCTTTCAGCATCTTCTAAGACCTCAAATGACAAGGGTGGCTGTGGTGCTGTGAGCAGCTGCGCAGTGGAGTTACTCCATGGTCACCTTCTCAATTTCAGTTTAATTAAAAACATCAACCCCATTCCCATGTGCCACTACCATAGCTGGCAATGGCCTCTGCTCAGCAGGGGCATCAGGAACATGAAACCCCCACATCTAGCATCAGAAATCTTCAACTCCTGTCACCCAGTCCATAAAATACCTGGTGCTGGGACAGATTTTCAGATTTTATACTTTCTGGCCAGATTTTCAGGTAGGAGAAACCTCAGGCTGAGCAATGTTATTGCTGCTGTCATCAACCATCTGTTCTGCACTTGGGAAACACTTATAATGCCTTGCTGCTCTAAGGGCTGCTGCAGAGCATGTGGTGATCGCTGGTTTCCCCGCACCTCTTACAGAACAGGCAAGGCAGAAAACAGAGCAGGATAAATCTGATGTTAGAGGAAACTCAAACCCCAAGGGTGGCAAAACCATGGTAGGCTTTGGGAGATGGGATTATAGGGTTTTACAAATGTGTCAGGCACCCATCAGGGAGGTGTGATCCTGCCTTGGTGGAGCGATGGAGGCACAAATCCCTGCCCGAGGCAGCCCACTGCTCTTTCTTGCAGATACTGGTGAACGCGACTGTCTTTGCTAGGATGTCTCCTGGCCAGAAATCCAGCCTTATTGAAGAGTTTCAGAAACTCGAGTAAGGTTTTCTTTTGTTTTCCTCTTGAACCAAACAAATAACAAGTTTTCTTTAAAGTGTAATTGTCCCAGCTAGTGCTGCTCCAGGCCCATTTTTCCAACCCTCCCTTCCTCCGCACGTGATCCCTATTTGCATCCTTTGTGGCCACCTTCCTCCCAGTTCCCCTACAGGGATCCCTCCGCATCAGGAGTACCTGCACCCCTTGCTCAGACTTAGCCACTGTTGCTTGCCGGTGCAGTATAGAAGGCAGCATTAAATGAGGCTGAGCTAAAAACACAGAGGCAGACCCCTGCACATACAAATAGCCCCCCCCCCCCCCCCCAACTCCTCCCCAG